TATAATTAATTCTTTTACATAAATTATTTCTTATCTTTTTATTGTGAAAATTATTTATTATTTTTATTAGCTAAAAATTACAAAAAAAATTAATTTCTTTGATATTCTATATTTTTTTTTAATTTTAATAATATATATACTATTTTTTATATTTATGTACTATAAAATAAATTAAATAACAAAAAAATAAAAATTTATGAATATTTTTATCAGTATGTTTATAATATTAACTTAATTATCTATTTTATTATGTAAATATTCAAGTTATAATTATTTATTTAAAATAAAATTATGATAAAATTTAAGTATTAAAATAATATTGAATTACAAATTTAGAAAAAAAAATGTAATATTACAGTTTTAAGAATTAAAATAATATTATATTTTATAATAATATGTCATATAACCATGTGATATGTATTATTCAATATATACATCATATGTATGTCACATAATATTATTTGGACATTTCTATTTAAAAAAATAGAGTTTATTTAATGAGAGAATTTAAATAAATAATATATTGCATTTTTAGAATTTTATTAGAATAAAAACTAAATTAAAAGTGATATATAATTTTACGAATTAATTTGACATTTACTTAAAAAAAAAAAAAAAAAAAAAAAACTCACCCACGCTGTAAGTTTGAATTGTCAAACACAATTATATAAATCAAACAAATAACCTCATCGTTGGCAATTAATTATTCATTTACAAAACCTCCTACGTCTGTTTACCATTCAGGCGGAGCACATGGGAAGTGGACAAAGTTGTGGATTTCTTTTCGGGGTTGTTTGTCTTCTCTGGATTCTTCCATTAAAAGAAGGTGCACCTATGTTTATTTAATTCAAACTAGGAGAAAAGTAAAATATACAAAACTATGAGTATAAACAGGTGGAGATGAACATGTCATATGTGAATCCAATTAATTTCACTCAATTATATTTCGGCTAATAATAATAATACATAAAAGTTAGTCTTATTTTTGTTAGAAAAAATTATGCGATTCGTCCAAGAACTTATTTATGTTTGATTTATTCATCTTTAATCTAATTAATTTTTTAATAATGAGAAATTATTATAAAATAATAATCAACGATTGAAAGTTATAATAAATATATTTTATTAATTCTTAAATGATGAACTAATTTAAGTCTGTTATAATAATAGAGATAAGTATTCTTAGTCTTGTCTATAAAAAAATTAAAAAAAAACCTTTAATATTTCATTGTGAACTTAAAGAAGGACTACAAAATGTCAAAATGTAACAATTCTTATTTTTTCTAAACATTCAGGATGTATTTACATCCACAAATTTTTATTTTTCTTATATTGGAATATGTATTTTTTCGTTCAATATGATTTTAAATTGATATTCAAATATGTACTTATTTATATATTTAATAGTTTGGTAACAATGATTACAATTTTTACTATTATTATATATATTATTGACTAAAGTTTGTATATTTGTTACAATTTTCACTAACTTATTTTTTATTATATAATTCAAATAATTGTTAGTATTGTTTAAGATATTATTGTAATTGTTTTTTGTTAGTATTGTTTGTTTCTTTCGAAACATGCATTATGACATTTGCATCTGTTAAACTTAGAAAACATGAATTAGCTTGGGACTTGTATCAATTTGGTTGAGTCCGTTTGGCACGATAAATAAATTGGGCCATTCTAGTGATTGACATTTTTGGGCTCCAATTTATAGCCAGGCCAGCTCAACTAGGCCCGGTGGGCCTGTTTTCCATTCACCTCGACAATGGTCGTTTCACGCATCCACGGAGTCTCTGATTTCGTTTGGTTTCATTTGGCAGATCGGAAGGAGGGGTGAATTGGCCTGAGCTCGACACAGCAGAGGAAACAGAGAAGAAAAATGGCGGTAGACGAAGTACCAATTGACGACAAGGCAAAGAGGATGCGAGATCTGCTATCGAGTTTCTACTCCCCAGACCCTTCCATCTCCAACACCTCTTCCAAACACGCTTCCCTCGACGACATCAATTCCACCTCCTTCGATCCCGATCAGTACATGAATATCCTGGTATGCTACTCTTCTTCCCCTCCCTCAATTCACCACTCTCATCGCGGAATACAAACTTTATTCTATTCAATTAATGAACTATGAAGGCACACAAGTCCAATTTGGAAGGGCTGCTCCAACGCCACGTCGAAATGGCAGCTGAAATCAAGAATCTCGACACGGACTTGCAAATGCTAGTTTACGAGAATTACAACAAGTTCATCAGCGCTACAGACACTATAAAGAGGTTTATATATATATATATATATATAACCATTTCTCGCTTGCTCTATCGTGTCAGAGTGTTGTGTGAATGAATGGTGATATTTGCTTCTCAAACAGGATGAAAAGTAACATTTCAGGAATGGAGGCAAATATGGAGCAGCTTCTTGAGAAGGTAACCGTAGCTTTTTTTTCCACTCCACCAACTTCATTCAAAAGACGAAGAAAGGGACTTTGATTGATAGGAATGCTCATTTTCCCCGAATGCAGATAATATCTGTGCAGTCCCGAAGTGACAGTGTCAACACTTCTCTGTTTGACAAAAGGGAGCATATTGAGAAACTGCACCGGACTTGTAATCTTCTTCGGAAAGTTCAGGTATTAGAGCAGTCTTGCACATATCATTATAATGGCTTTGCATCACTGTACAATTTATATTTCCGCATATCAATTAGTGATATGAGTTGTGAGTCTTTTGTGGGAATGGAATAGACCAACATTGAAGGAACTTGTTTGAGTTTTTTTTTTATTTAATTTTTTTTATACAATTCATCCAGAAATGTTTTGCAATATGACTTACATACTTTTCATGTTTGTTGAAGAGCAGTTCATATATGATCTACCTGACAGACTAGCCAAGTGCATCAAGTCAGAGTCCTATGCAGATGCAGTCAGATTTTACACCGGAGCAACGCCAATTTTTAAGGTTGTGTTTGACTTGTGTGGTTTCTGATTCAACCCATTGAATACTTTTGCATACAACATATTAATCAAGGTCTCTGAAATATCTTGATTTCCCCCCTCTTTCTTAGGCGTATGGAGATTCATCATTCCAGGATTGTAAGCAGGCATCTGAAGAAGCAATAGCTATCATAGTAAAAAACTTGCAGGTATTATTCTTTCTCTTGTGTCAGACTCTTTGGACATGAACCATAGGCCAAAATGCAAGTCACGGGACAATGGATTTCTTTATCTATTCCTTCTAACATTATTTTGGGCATGTAAACACCATTCCATGTTAAGTTGTTATTTGGCTGTATCCTACCTCACTTGTACAACAGCAATATCTGCTGATAACAGAACATGGTTTGAGGCTCTTGGTGAGTAGCTAGAGGCCTAGATGCTATCTGTTTTGGGGATAGATCCCCTTTAGTGACATTTTCACTAGACGAGATCTTATCCACTCAATGAATTTATATTAGATTTTTATTATAAAGTGAAGGTTTACAAGAACTAAGGGTGAGATTTTAATAATTGAGAGTCTCAATTTTTTTTTTTCATGAGAGGATCTCTTCCCATCTTTTATAGTTACTAAATTAGTGGTAAAATTGGATAGGATTAGCTTACCCTATCCATCATTTATAATCTAGTTTTCCTAACATGGGTAAAACCTTTTTAAGTTAATAAAATCAGTTAAGATAACCTCTCTAATATTTTGCTGAATAATGAATGATGCTCAATTGTGTTTAACAGAAGCTCCTTATCATGATTGACATTTTTCTCTCTAACCAGGGGAAGCTATTTTCAGATTCTGAATCAATACAAGTGAGAGCTGATGCAGCAGTGCTTCTTAAGCAGTTGAATTTTCCGGTTTGTACTTTTCTTTTATAAAAAATATCAGAATAGCATTGTGCATACTTGTTGAGATATGATGGGATTTTATCAGCTAGTAATTATTTGCTGAATGTTTACTATTAAATATATGTCCTTATGATGAATTATTTATTTATTATTTTTGGCATTGTATGAAGAGCTTTGGGCATCCACCATGTCCTCTTTTCCTCGCTTTTAGAGAGATAACATTATATTTTCTGGGGTATTATTAATAGAGGTTATATGATGCTAGGTTTTCAATTTATTGGCAGGTGAACAATTTGAAGGCAAAGTTGTTTGAAAAGTTAGAACAATCCATTACAGACATTCAGTTGAACCCTGGAGAAATAAATAAAGCTTCAGGGGACCATTCTGCTCATGAGGTAACAAGTGGCATAATGGTATCCTTTTGTTTAATTTCCTCCCTTCCCACCCCTTGATATCTGGTATTACTAATTTACTATCTTATCTTGGGTTACTTAAGATGTTGATGGCAAATAATATTAAAGTTATGTCTGTATCCCAAAGGACCAATTTAAGCATGATATAGATATAGATGGTTCTGTGAAGCAATGTATGTGGCTATGTGCAACACTGATCAGGACCATATGAGATGCCTATCTTAGGGGTACAGTCTTGTAGAAGATAGACACTTTTTGAGAAGATGAATATATATATATATATTATATATATATATATATATATATATATAAGAATTAAGTAACTCTAAAAATGTTGATACTCATGTGCTGGAAAAGGATGTTGATGAGTTGGCCAATAGCAGGAAATGAAGAAAAAAGTAGTGATTAGACAGTTAGACTGATGGCTGCTTCAATATCCATGAACGGTTATGTTAATTTATCAAATAATCTTCCAAGAGAAGATGAATGGAATGAGTTTATTATGACTGTTCCAATTCAAAATCTTTTTTTTCCTCTTCTATTTAGCCTAATTTACTTACATTAGTATGAATGTTTTCTTTGGTAACTGAGGTTATGACTGATGAATTAGATTTTATTTCTGTTCCCATTTCTTAATGTAGACTGCTATTCATGAATTTGTGGAGGCAGTTCGTGCTTTTCGAGTAATATTTCCTGATTCAGAAGAACAGTTGGTTAAACTTGCTCAAGATTTGATTACCAAGTTTGTATCTTTATTTACTACAGGAAAAGTTTTTATTTGCAGTAAATTAAATTTGTATTAATATGCTCACCTTTTAATGTTTGCTAGGAACTTTTTAATTAGTGAAGAGTATGTGAAGACACGGATTTGCCCAGAAGATCTACTTGGCATTCTTCGTAAGTAGTATGACTTTGCTAGTACTTTGATGTGTGTGTGTGTGCATTATTTTTATTTTTTATATTTCATGTTGTGTGTATCCGGTACATTGGCGAGAGTTTTACACTTGCTACTGGGGACCTAACACAACTCTCACCCTTAACTCAGGCTTGGAACCAGCTATGAGAACCATAACTGGAGTTGTTGTTTTGTGACATTGTATGTCACCTAGTGGGATAAGGCTTTGTTGTTGTTGTTTTTGTTGTATTTTGTGTTTGGTGTGTATTTGTAATTTCTGGACATACACTTTATTTCTAAAGTTTGATGGCTTTTTAGTTTCAGTACCATATTAAATATATGAGCCAATCTCCTTTGATTCATATGTCTCTTATATGAAATGTAGTTTTTATATGAAAAATGATGGCACTTGTTTTTTGGTCCAATTTTGTTCTTTTATTGTCAATGACTTTTTAAATACGGAAGCAATTCACATTTCTTAGCATTTGTTCTCTTACCATTTATCCAGGTTCAATTTTTCAATATATCTTTGTGTCTAATCCTTTCTTTCTTCTTCTTGAGCTTGATGTTTTTCTATATGTATATTATTTTAATTGTTAAACCAGTCTTCCCTGCTCTTGATTTGACAATTTTTTTTTTAAATTTGTAATTACAGGAGTTATTTGGAATGATGTGCTCCTGATAGATGAAGTCTTACAGGAAGCAGCTCTTTCTAACCATTCACTTGAGGTTATCCATTAATCTTATTGGCTTAAATTTGAATCTGACCTAAGCAGTAGCTATTGAATTCTCCCATTCCCCCTATTTTCAGAATATAATCATTGCGAAATTCATGTTTTAAAAGAGTTTCAATCAACTAACCCTGAATATTTCCAGGATGCGAAGGTTGTTGTCACATCATATATTAGAAGTGCATTTTCTCATCTTCTGCAAGACATTTCAGGTTTATTTCTTTGACTGTATTCAGAAAGCTTCTGATATTAGGTTTCAGCTTGAAGTTTAAAATATTTACCGTACAATGCTACATGAGGATCAAGAAATTAAAAATCTTAGTTTGTTGATTGTACCAATGTGATTTTTTTTTTTAAATGATTAGAAGCATAACATGCTATAAATTATGTTGTTGCTGATTCTAACTTGTCAAAATAGCTCTGTTGTATATTCACATGATTTTAGCAACTGCAAAATTTTTTAGATTGTATTCTCAACTGTTCTCTGAGTTGGCATATGTTTGGTAGATTCCCTCTTACAAATCCTGAAAAAGGATGGAGCAGAACAGTGCTCTCTCGACGTTGTTCTTGATGCTAGCACAAAAGCAGTTCTCCAAGGTGGCTTGAATGTCTTGCTGGTAAGCATGTTTATAACATGCTTAGATTATTCTATGCAAGGTTATATGCAGTTATGCAGGCATGTATTGCTATAGTTAAGGTTTTCTTTTTTGTCATTTTATTTACATTTAACTTCTCTCCTTCAGGACTTCCACAAAATTTTAGATGATGACTCTGGGGTCCTAGTTAGACTGAGAGAGTTAATCATTGATTGGGTTCAAGAAGGACTTCAAGACTTTTTTAGGCAACTTGAGGATCAGTTCCTTGTGCTTTCGGGAAGAAATAATTCATCTAGTCAAGTACATGGTTTAGTGGAGGGAGCTCAAGGTGACAAAGCTTTTGCTGGCCTTGTCCTTGTGCTGGCACAATTGTCTGCTTTTATTGAACAAACTGTCATCCCAAAAGTTACTGAGGCAAGGGTCCATTTGATAGACTTGTATTTTGATTCCTGATATTTCAATTTCTGTAATTAATTTTTATTTCATATCCTCTGGGTATACCTTAAAATTTTCCTTGTAACCTTCAGGAAATAGCTGCTTCCTTTTCTGGTGGTAGTGTTAGAGGCTATGAATCTGGACCTGCCTTTGTTCCTGGAGAAATATGTCGAAAATTTCGATCAGCTGGTGAAAAATTCCTGCACCTGGTATGCTTTTAAGTTCATATTTTATTTTCAATGGAATTGCAATTTGTTTGGCACGCTCTGTATATTGGCCTTGACTGTATGACACTCCCTCATTCTTATTCATCTATCCCTCAGGTAATGCCTAAAGCCTGCTGGGTGTTTTTCAGCTTGATTTTAATATTTTTCCCATAAAATATTTATGTTTCCAAGGAAAAGAGGGTTTTTAATTTGGTTAGCCATTTAGGCCTCTAGGCAGTGCTTGTTTGCGTGTGAAATACAATCCCAGAATATGTGAATGTTGGACTAAATTTCGGTCTTTGAATGGTGTGGTTGTTACATTATGTATTGTCTGCTTTCTCTCTTGAGCTGACTGGTTTAGCTTTATGCTGTTAGTCGCTTTTATGTGGAACAATTTGTTGAGATATTTGAGAATGATGGCATACTGCAAGTTTTGAAACTGATTTCTTCAGTGGCTTTGATTGGAATAAGTGGTGGGAGACTTTTTATGATCCTATGGAATTTGTGCTATATAGGTGCTTTTGATTGAAAAATGTTCACGTTTTTTTAGAATGTTTGGTTGTCCTTTGAGTATATTAGGGACAGATAGTCCATATGGCTTTGCTTTGATTTTCTGGGATGGTATCTTTTGAGGGACTTTTGTCTCATTTTCAAACGAACTAGCAAGCTTTACTTCACTTTCTTTGTTTTGTAGTACTATTTCTTGAGTGCTTTTGTTTTGGATGATATTTAATCTCCATTCATCTGTACCTATTATGTCCTGAGTCCTTTATTTCTGTTTTCATTATTTGAAAATTTTTCTTTAAATTAAGTAGTGTTTGCACATACTGTTTGGTTCTTTTCAGTACATCAATATGAGAACTCAGAGGGTATCACTCCTCCTGAAGAAGAGGTTTACCACCCCTAATTGGGTTAAGGTCCGTTTGTTATAAATCCTTTTCTCAAGCGTAAAAGGCTGGTGATTGGTTATCTTTGAAAGAGCTTGAATCTGAAGTGTTTTTTGTTGCTTTACACAGCATAAGGAGCCAAGAGAAGTTCATATGTTTGTAGATTTATTTCTTCAAGAGGTTGGTATATCTGCATATTTAAATCAATCACTCTTTTCTGTGTCTTTTTGAGTTTCATTGGATGGTTTAAACATTGTAATTGAATATCAGTCTCATTAAATTTTACATATCTGGAATATAATTGATGAGCATGAAGCTTTATATTTCTATTTGATGAAAATTAATTGAAGCAAACGTTGGAAAATTTTATTTCTTTTATTTAATCTTTTGTTCCAGCTTGAAGTCATAGTTAATGAAGTGAAGCAGATTTTGCCTCAAGGTAGACGTAAGCACCACAGGACTGATAGTAATGGAAGTACTGCTTCATCAAGGAGTAACCCCTTACGGGAGGAGAAACTGGGTAGGTCAAATACTCAAAGAGCAAGGAGCCAGCTTTTGGAAACGCATCTAGCAAAATTGTTTAAGCAGAAAGTTGAAATTTTCACAAAAGTAGAGTATACACAGGTATTGAGTGATTACTTTATTGGTGATTAATATTTAAATAATTGGTTGGGAGCCAGTATATCATTTCTCTGCGAACTGCAGGAGTCTGTTGTTACAACTATAGTTAAATTGTGCCTTAAGAGTTTTCAAGAATTTATCCGACTCCAGACTTTTAACCGAAGTGGATTCCAACAAATTCAATTGGATATCCAGTTCCTAAGGATACCTTTAAGGGAAATAGTTGAAGATGAAGCTGCAATTGACTTCTTGCTGGATGAGGTTGGAAAAATTGTCCTATTTATAATTTTTCATAGTGATTTGATGCATTTTCCCCCATGAGAATTACCTTTAATTTTACTCTTTTTTTTTTTCCTGTTCTAAACTCATCCGAAGGCCCTAGGTTCTTAATTCTTATGTGACTCCTGTGCATTTATGATTTTTGTATTTTTTGGGCACAGGTGATTGTTGCTACCGCAGAGAGGTGTCTAGATCCGATTCCATTGGAGCCTCCCATATTGGACAAGCTTATACGAGCAAAGTTGGCCAAAACAGAGGAACAAAATACAATTTCTTCATAAACATTTTGTGGAAGTAGAAATATATAAAAAAATGTGTTTGCTGTGTTTGTCATCTCTCGTAGAACTTTGTCATGGTTTTGGCCGCTGAAAAGTAAATTGGTTCCTGTTCTTTTCACTTTGTAAATCTCTTGTAAGTTGTAACATATGTCACATTGCCATGTTATTTGTGGAAACATTGAAACATGAAAATGTTGTATGCATTCACTCGAGAGTAAGACCAAACTAATGTAATTTTTTGACAGAAATCTCTTAAGTTGTATCCATTCACTCTGTTATTTTTTGCTTCCTCATCTTACCCAACGTCTAACGTGTACGATGTTTAACAACAACCCACAAATCAAATTAGTCAACGATCAAAGGCTGAAAAACGCCTTCCCGTTGCCAACTCTTGACAGATTTCTGGGAGAAACTTCGTTACCATCTAATTACAAACTACAGTAAAATTTATTATAATTTATTAAGTTTTATAATAACTATTTTAAAATAACATAATTTTTAATGGTTTCAAAAAATATAATTTTTTATTTAGCTATTCATACATCTAGCGATATTCATAACATAGTACATGTACACCAGTGAGCCATATCCATTTTACATATTAATTTTATGCTTCACCTTTGAGCCTAACGTAGGAAGTGCCTGAAAAAACACGTGATTTTCGAAAGAAAAATAAAATATTGGCCCGTGGGTCTGTACTTATGATTATTAGTTTATTACTACTATTTTGGGTGTGATGTTGGTAAATCACATGACATACGAGTGAAGCCGGACACAACTTTCGGAAGACATTGAAGTAAATAAATATCGACCTGCTCGAAAAGACAAATTTAATTAACTTTACAATGTAAAATAGGCCTGAGCATCGGTCGGCCACGGTCGGTTTCGGACCAAAATTCCTAAAATCATCCGAAACCGATTAAGAAAAATCAGGGGCCATTTCCGACTGACGAATAACTCAGATTTTGGCGGGTTCAATCCGTGCGGGTTACGGGTTCATCGGATGGATTTATCGGTTTGAGAAGCTTCCTCGTCGCCATCCGTTGTCATTCTTTGCCAGTCTCTGTCGCTGCTTCATTTGGGGAAAATCACGGAGTTTCAGATCTCCGCATCACCACCTTCATCAACCAGAACAGGAAGTTTCTCAGCAGCGGTAGCCATGGAAGAAGAAGAAAGAAGCAGAAGAAAGAAGACGAAGTGAAGAAGAAGAATAAAGAAGACAGTGTGAAGAAGAAGAAGAAAGAAGCAGAAGAAAGAAGATGGAGTGAAAAAGAAGAAGAAAGAAGACGGAACGAAGAAGAAGAAGAAAGAAGACGAAGTAAAAATGGAGAAAATAAACGGTGAAGACGAAGGTGAAGAAGAAGAAGATAAACGGTCGGATTCGGGTACATCGGATGAGAAAATTCCAACACCGAATCCGACCGTTCAAAACCGTTTGAACCCGAAATTTGCTTCAAAAAAAATCCGATATACCTAAGAATCAATCCGCCTCACCCAATCTGATCATCGGTTTGGCCGGTTTCGGATCGGCCGGAAATTTTTGCACAGGCCTAATGTTAAAGATGCCCGTGCCGTGTTCTGTAGGAACTTACCACGTAAAAAAAAAAAAAATCAAATTTATATTATAAGTTAATCATCATAGGAAAAAACAACACGATAAATATTTTTAAACTTCTAAAAAATCAAGGATTTTTAAAGAATGCGAAAATGAAAATTTTAAAATACATGGAGTTTGATAAAAAAATATGAAATGAAGTAAAATTATGTGGATATTAGTTATTATTGTTTAAATTATTTAAATGAAATGTTTTTCATTCGATTTAATCCATTAAATATTTGTTCTTTTCCCTAATTTTGTCATTTGTTATATACATTTTTTTACTTCATTTTATCATAAAATAGTCAAATAGTAAAAAAAAAAATTATATTTATACCTTTTCATTTCACCCATTATTATATATCCAAACTCTCGCCTAGTGATAAAAAATTAATAAATAAACTTTTCATTTTCTAACAAACAATTGACATCATTTACCAAATATATTTGTTCTTGTATGTTGTACATGTATATAGTTTTTACATTCTGTATTATTTACTGAACTTGATGTCATTTCTTGAATATTTATTATTTCGAGTGTGGATTTTAAAATTAAAAAAGAAAATATTCTTTATAATATTTGAAAATGTTATATAAGATTTAAATATTTGGGGGAAGGTAATGAAATTTTGATAATTCAAGCGCTAAGGGATTGGATTACATTAGATGCTCCAGGAAAGAGTAATATTTATCAATTAACAAAAGGAATTAATTAAAGTACATACTTATAATTTAGAGTCATTTATTTGTGAACACCTTTAAAAATTCCTTTCACTTAATCGATGTAATCAAACAATAACCATTAAGAGTCAATGAAGTAATCAAACAATACTTTTAATATAAAAATATTTTTTGATTTTTTTAAAATTATTTAAGAAAATGATAAGGAAGTTACAAAATTAAAATGAAACCTTAAGTACTATAAAAACAATGAAGTAATAAATACACTATAAAAATATGAAAACTTAAATTAATATCATATCAATAAATAAATATTTCATAAAAATATTTAAAAATAAATAAACTTAGGTTGGATTTGATTTGATAAGACAATTTTTAAATGAAAAAATCATGTAAATTTTACAAGATTTGACTTTTAAGATTTTTTTTAAGGTTCTTATCATCAACCTTTTGTGATTTAGATTTTAATAAATTTTATATCATAACATTTAATTTTTTTTTTATAAAATTTCAAAGTACAGTATAAATTTATAAAAAGAATAGAATTAAAAAAAATATAACGTAAATAAATATACAATTTTCAATCTTTTAATAAATAATTAATTATAATTTCATATTCTTATAACTAACATTTTTTTTACATATAGTCCTTCATGCATGTGTAAATAATTAATTATAATTTCATATTCTTATAACTAACATTTTTTTTTACATATAGTCCTTCATGTATTATGTATAAATTTTACTAAAAATCCCTACAATATCTATCTTATATAATAACTCACCGAAATTTGTATTCTTTTAATGCCAAAATTTTCAATCGAATACTTTTAATTGTAACATATTTTTAAAATTTTATTGTCTTATTTGAATACCATAATTTTTTTATATTGACTTTTTTTTATTTATCAAATATTCCAAGACTTTTAAAAAAAAATTTAAAATTCTAATTTATGGGCCAATTTGGCTTAGGTTGAGGCAAAATAAAGTTCGAGTTAATCAATTTTGATTAGTTTGATTTACATTTAATTTTAAATTTCTTTTTGTAATCCAATTTAAATTAAATTGATCAATATTGGTTAGTTCGATTTGGGTTATTTGGTTCTCTTAAGAAAAAATTGTTAGGTTTCCATTTTTTAAAACATAAAATAGATAATATTGTCTAACAATTTAAATATAAATCATATGTTGTTGTGTTTTGAGAGTCTAGTTGTTGAAAAATTCTTTTGAATATAATTGTGTCTTGAATTGAAGTGGTAAATCTCTTGTAGGTCCTTAGTTGATACTGTATGGAGGTTAGGTCAAGTCATACTGGTTTAAAAGCGATCAATCAAGTAAGGTACAAGATTGAGGACCAAAATCCCTAACCAAGTAATGGAAAAGTGTGTAGCGAGTTAATTTCATATAGACCTGGTTATACATGCTAAGGTTATGATAAACTTACATCCAAACTATTTTATTTCTAACAATGATATTAGGTTTTTATAGTCTAAGCGACAAAATTTAAGAAATCATGATGTGTTGTGAACTGATATCCAAATTTGTTGTTAATCTAGAAAATTCAAAGATATTACGTTGTTAAGTTAGTTTGGTAAGGTCAAGTTACTTAGATTGCTCACCTCGTTGTAAGAGACCTCTTAGTTGAAATGCGTGACAATAAATTCAGTTGTATTGTGTTATAAGTTTGTATGGTGTTTAGTTGTTACGTGGCTGCGTAGTTGACAAATTGTGTTGCTTATATGTTGTGTAAATATGTTGAAATATGTTAAGTTTAAAAGTTGTGATGAATGTTGATTTATGTTATTGAAGGTATAAGATGTTGATAGGCGTATATAAACATGTGTGTGTACAATATTTGATGTAATACCACTGAGCGATTTATATTTATGTGTGTATATATATATATATATATATATATATATAATATATATATATATATTATTGCATGCATATTCAATAATTGTTTACATAGTAATTTTAGGTAATTAAATTTATGTTTTTCGTTGCTTAATGTTAAATTATAAAGTATAGAAACCTACCGAGTCTTTACAGTATGATAAGTGTATGATGGAATGAGTAGTAACTTGTATTAGTGCGATGTTAGGTTAGGTATGGTAGATGAGTCCATGAGTGACAAAGTGTCAAGTGAATTATGTTACTAATTAATAATAAAATTAAATTATACAATAATTAGATTTTTAATTAATTAAATTTTTTGATCATTAAAATTTTAAAATGCAAATCTGTTATTCGATCCAATTAAAGTTGAATTTATTTGATTTGGATCGGATTTGATCCAATAAAAAAATCTAAATCAATTTAATTGGTTTAATTTATATCATGAATTTTATCAGATTATCCAAATCAATGAACATTCTTGACACTAATTTGCACGATTTTTGGTGTAAAAATATTTATTTAAAGTCTCTATTAACTCGAATCATTGTAAATATAATCGATTATATACATTGCATAATATTATGTGGATATAAAGATAATTTATATTTATTTATTTAAAAATTTAAAATATAAAATAATAAACATAATCAATTCCTATATATTAAATACTAATTATTATCTTGTTCGAGAATATTTTTAAGAACTTTTGTTTAATAGAAGAATTTGTAAGGACTATTTTAACTTCTTATACAATTTGATTTTATTTTTCAAAGTTATTTATAAATTAAATATTAATATTTTTAAAATGAATTATTAATAAATAAAATATTTGTTACAATATAAATTATTTATTATAAATTTAAAGTATAATTTATGTATTTATATATACTAGAAGGACTAAAGTACTCCGTGTCTCTAATAGTTACACACATAAAAATATTATAAATTATGGATAGTTATTTAAAAAAAAATATAAGAAGATTTTTTTTATATTCAAGGAGTATAAGCGTCTATTAAAAAGTAGAGACCAAAGGGGTGGTTACCAAAATATATCCTTTTATAATATGTATAGAAGATTTTTTTTTTTATATTTAAGAAGTATAATCGTTTACTAGAAAGTGAAGACCAAAAGGGTGATTACCAAATATATCCCCTTTATAATATGTATAGATCTATAGATGTATAGATATATAATTTTAAATATAATTTATATATTAAATATAATATTTATTTGAATATTTAATTTATTTTAACTTTTAGTTATATATAATAAATATTGAGTCTCTAAAATGTAGTATTAAAATATTAATTTTTATATAAAAAACCAGTAGAATTTAGGGAAAAAATAAATATAACGATCCATGTATAATTTTTTTATTATATGACAAATATAATATTAGATAATCCGTTATAACAGTAATAAGTAGATGGAAGGCGGAGAGCTCTGACATTTATATTTCATACCGAAAAATTAATTACGTCCGCAAACATAAATAAATAAATATATATATATATATATATAAGATGTGTTTACATTCAATAACTCATTTATATATCATATTTCAACGATCTAATAGTTAAATTTAAACAAAATTGTATACACTAATTAATATCATTAATAATAAATCTGTTCTAACTGTAATGATAAATTAATAAAATAATAATAGCATCATTTAATATGTTAAAATTTGTTGATTTAAATTTTATTTTAAATTTAAATTAATTAAAAAATTATCTTCTTTTTATTTTTTTATACTTTTCTCTCACTATACAATTTCAATTTTTATTCAGTTTCTTATTACTTTTTTTTCTCTTTATATTTCATTATTCTATATATAAAACACAGGAATAATGTCGAAATATAATATGGAGGAGCATTGCAAATTACAATTTTGGGTTACATTTGTCATTTCAAATAAAATATTGGGGAGCATCAGAACGAGTTCTCAAAATCTCATTACCTGTCCGAAACGCCAGATTTATTTATTTATTTTACCTTCGATAAAGCAGTTTTATTTTGTTTATTTTTCTACATAATGAACGTATTTTCTTGAAATAAATAAATTTTATAAAAAATATAAATATAAGTCCCTTGAATTTCATTCACCTCCGGCTCCGTCGCGGACACCGAAGAAACACCGCAAAATTCCGTCCGAAGCCAAGAGCCCCACTCGCAAAAAGGGTATTTATTTTCTTTTCCCATTCCAGTGCAAAACCTAATAAATCCTCTTCGAATCCAAACCAATCGTAACACAAAGGTAGGCGATTAAATTTGTTGCAGTTTTTGGATTTGCGTTTTTGGTATTGTATCTGCAATTGAATTCGATTCCATTTTCTACCCCTAAACCCTTTCTCAATAACACTGTCCATTCCACATATTTAACACCTTTCGGTTTCAGATTCTTCAAGTGCTACCAATCTCTGCTGCGGCAACTTCAACCATTTCCGAGGTCTTTCGCTAATGCTCCATCCTCCTCTTTCGTTTTTCAGTTGCTTTTGTTTCATTCACTTTGCTGCTAAACTTTGTTTTATTCTCTCTGCACAAACTCCAAAGCTTCGAGTTCCATTTAAATCTTGCTTCTACCAAATATTCAATTTGGGACTGACCTAACCTCGTTTAGGTTTTGCATCACTGAATTGCTCTTTCCATTGTCATGCATGCGAAGGAACAAAAGGAGTGACACTTGTTTTGAATTTCATTCAATCGAGATTGATAATGGTCAATATTGTTAATCCAAAGTTTGCTTGTTTGATATGATGCTGTCATATTGTTAATCCGGAGTTTGTGTTGTATGATGTGATGATGTCATAATGCACACTGTGTTAACGTTTTTCATGGATTGCTTTTCGAATTTGTGGCAGAATCAGGACAATTTATGCACCGTAGTTTGTCCTTTTGTTGGAGAACATTGTCAAAACATGGGTTCGCGGAAGGGTAAAGCTTCTGGTCGTGCATCTTCAATGAGTGTTGTGCCTTTGGCTGTTTCAAATAAGGTGGATGAGATGGCACTGCCCCTCGAGGATATGAGTGCCGTTGAGACTGATGTGGATATAGACCTCAGGGAACTATACTTTTTAATCATGCACTTTTTGTCTGCTGGGCCATTCCGGAGGACTTTTCTACATTTCAAGGAGGAACTTTTGGAGCATCAGCTTCTACCTAGACGATATCATGCTTGGTTTTCAAGAAGTGGTGAGCCCAGTGGGGATGATGCTGATGAAGATGATGATGGCATCTCTTTACCTTTAGATTACAGAAATTTAGTGGACAGGTATTTCTACATTGTATATGCCTTCTGATTTCATTTTGTACTAATTATCCAGCAACAAGATTGAGATGGGATATTTGATGGTTTCGTTGCCATTTTATTACTATATGTAAAGTTGTAGTTTTATGCATAGCTTTTCAATATTTTATATTATTTTTATGAGAGCACAGTGTTGTTAGAAATTTGATGTTAAATTGCATCATGCTTCACTTCAAAAAGATGATTGGCATTTTGTATGGTTGTTAAAATGCTGGCAGAAATATGTACTATATAGCCTGAACTCGTTTTTCCTTTTATTTTTCTTATTATACTGACTGTTTCATGGAGGTCCAATGCATTTAGTTTTAGCTACTTATTCCCCTTGTTTCAAAATATATGTTGTTTAAGATTATACAATGGGACTAGGGTGGTTATTATAAAGTCTTAATTACAAAAAAGAAAATGTAATTTTATTTGACCAAGCTTCTTTTCATTAAAATACTCAAAATATTATCATTCCATTAATGCTATCTCTCATTCTATTTATAGGAAATATCTAAAAAACTAGGATAAAGTTATAAAAAATCATTAATATTTCTTAATTTTTTAAAGTGATATATAAATTGAAACAAAACAAGTTTTCTAAAGTGACAGATATTGTGAAAAATTGGTGACTCTAGTTTCTTTATATTGTAAAGGCTCCTTTAAAATTTTGTATTCTTATATATACCTGTGAACCTGCTTCATGCTTATGATCATAGTATTAGCAAGTAAGCAATTACTAATTTACTATACATACATAGGGAATAAACATGTTTTTAAGAGTCAAAGTGTTGAATTTCAATGTTGAGTCATACTTTGTTACTTTGTACTATAGTTATCATAGTGGTTGACTTCTACTCAATCAGATGGGCTATCAAGTATCAACACACTTTACCTTTAAGTGCATAGAAATGACTAACATTTAAAAAAGGGTAGCTGTACCCTATGGTCATTGCCATTATACTTAAATGTTTATTGTTATTTAAGCATTTTAGAGATGATTCTTTTTTATTTACTTGGAGTTTAGTATCATTGGATATTGTTTTTTTGAATATAAAAAGGAAAATAAACTTATATGGAAGTGGGTGATTACTACTGGTAGAGTTATCTCCATTTAGAGATTACTTGCAAATAGGGGATGCTTCGTATTTTAATCCAAATATTTATTTTTATTTGGTTCAAATATAAAGGTTTAATTATTGTTCATTTGTGCAACTACAAGGTATCCTCACATAACTAAGGATCACTTGGTAAAGCTTCTGAAGCAATTGATGCTGAGTACGGTTCATCCTTTGCATGGAAAACATGGAGGGAGTAGTCCTAATGCAGCTGATGTTCCTACATTACTTGGATATGGTTCATTTTCGCTTCTTGATAGTATGTGATAAGCTATAATAATTTCCTTTTCTCAATGATCATTTAAAGCTAAGATGGCAAGTTGTTAACTCAAACTGAAAAAAAATATCTGTAAGCATAGGCTATTATACGAATTTAGTGAATTAGCTATTTATATATATCTTTTAATGATTTTCTTTTCTTAGTTCAGTGGTATATTCTCAGAGGGATGATTAATATGTCGGGGCTTGCATTAAGTTACTAGGTTTGGCATGGCAAATCTTGTTTCGGTTTATGCTTTGGTAGAATTGATAGTTGAATATATGAACCTCCCAGAATTATATTTGCTTCTATAAGTTCACAGTTTAAAGTTGTTGTCCTTGGTCTGCTCCACCAAGACTGGAACTGACATATAAAATGTCATAATTGTGTGGCAGTTAGCAATGAGCATATGTAAAAAGGGGAAGGTCCAAGATTCTAAATGTTTAAAAACTTGATTAGATAGTTGTCTTTGGTTTAAAATTTCCTCCCAGTCTTCCCTTTTTACAAATTTAGTACTGCTCTGATGCTTCTATTGGCAAATTTGCATTTAAATATGTCTGGAAGTTGCTATAGTTGGCCATGCCCTCAACATTAACCACAACACAGATATGTGGAAGAATGGGATATTTACTCCATTTTCATTCTTATGTATGTACAGCTGATAGAAAAGCATCTGACAAGCTGGTAAAGCCCCCTCCACTTTACATGCGTTGGCCACACATGAAGGCTAATCAGGTTCAGGGGCTAAGTTTAAGGGAGATTGGAGGTGGTTTTACAAAACACCATCGCGCTCCATCCATTCGCAGTGCATGTTATGCTATTGCCAAACCATCTACTATGGTGCAAAAGATGCAAAATATTAAAAAGCTAAGGGGGCACCGTGTGGCTGTCTATTGTGGTATGAATTACTCTTCTGCTGAACTTGATATTAATATGGTGGCTTTATGGGCATGCCATTCTATGAGTTCATGTTTTGTTATTTTCATGAAAGCCATTAATTAGATGTGTCTCGTGACACCAATAAAAGTTGAATCCAATGCTTTTTCATTATAAGTGTTGCTTTCTCTTACAGGTTCCTTATGGAGTTAAATGTTGATTTGTTAATAATTTCCACTTAGACACATAAATAATTACTTTAATAGCTGAACCTATGGTTGATAAATTTTAAAAAATGATTTTATCTTGCAGCCATATTCGATGGATCAGGGCGATATGTTATTAGTGGTTCCGATGATCGTCTTGTCAAGATTTGGTCTATGGAAACTGCATTTTGCTTAGCTAGTTGCCGTGGACATGAAGTTAGTCAAGAATATGGTTCATGAAAGTAATTTTGATAAGTTTGTTTTCCTTTCAATATCATTTAATCTTATGTTGTCATCATTAAACTGAAGGGTGATATTACTGACTTGGCTGTAAGCTCGAACAATGCTTTGGTGGCATCTGCTTCAAATGATTTTGTCATTCGAGTTGTGAGTAGTATAACTTAATTTTTATGTTCTGTCCTGCAAACCTTGGGTAACTAAGTTGACATTCCCTTTTCAACAGTGGCGCTTACCAGATGGGATGCCAATATCAGTTTTGCGGGGACATACTGGAGCTGTTAATACTATTACGTTTAGTCCCACTGCTGTATACCAGCTGCTGTCGTAAGATTTATTATGCCCTATTGTTGCCTTTCTATATGTTGTCCTAGTGATTCTTGTGACTCATAAGAAATAAATCTTGATGCTAATCTATTTATTTCATTTATAAATAATTGAATCACAAATTTTTTGCCTGGCTCTAGAAATAAAACCAAGTTTTTTATTTGGGTATATACTAGTAATTAGTAAAACTAAACTTTAATATTGTAACAAGTACTTTTATTCTCAGATGTAGTCCTAGATGCAGTTGCCCCATCTCTAGTCCTGGACGTTATGCTTCATGTTCATGATTTGTTTACATATTTGATTAGGAGACGAATCTTATTAGTAAAAATTGGGGCTAGTTTTTTGTATGACATAAAGTTAATAACAGTTTCATATCATTCAGTCTCTGTTTGCACTTTTCCTTCTTTCCTAAATCCCTATAATTTCAACAAATTATAAGGGAGGTCGGAGGTGAGAGTAACTTAATTGAACATATTCTGTATACTATTTTAATTGATCCTTAACACTGGTTGACCCCAACTTCCATAAACGTTGTTTTATTTATTTCTATTTGGGGGAGGGGGTTGGTGGTGTGGTATTCTAATCAATTAAGTGTAATCTATGCCCTGGAAGATTATTAATTTCTTCATTATTTTACACATATACATCATTCTAGTGTTCGTATTCTAACTTTTATGACTTGTGAGCTATGTAGGTCATCAGATGATGGAACTTGTAGAATATGGGATGCCAGAAATTCACACAATCCAAGAATATATGTACCTCGACCTCCAGATGCTATAAATGGTCAGATAATTGCTTCTATTTCTGTCAACAGATCATGCCTAGGACTGGAAGTGGTCTGAGTTTGGCATTTTTACCATACTAAATTTGATATGGTTGTGCTATATATTCAGTTTTTGAGTGGGATCAATTAGATTCCATTAAAATCTAAATCTAATATAAAATAAAATATCTTTACATTTAAACATGTTTTTTTAAATGAATACAAAGGACAATGAGTGGTGTTATCAAATATAGTTTAAATCAAAACTATGCAAGTTTGGACATACAAATTGAGGACATGCTGTTAAACCTTCCAGATCAGTAGTCTGACCTGTTGACTAACATAATTACTTTTTTGTTGTTAAGTTATTCTTGATTGATTATAGGTTTGTTTGAGGAATTATAAACTTTTGCAGGGAAGAGCAATGCTCCACCAGCTAATTTACCATCCTCAAGTAATGGTCAACAAAGCTATCAAGTACTTTGTTGTGCATATAATGCAAATGGAACTGTTTTTGTCACTGGTAGCTCTGATACTTTTGCCAGGGTATGTTTGCTGATGTACTCTTCACATATTTCCTATTTTTCTTCCACTAATACAATTGACTTTTCTATTTAAATATTGCATCTATTCATATATGTTGAGAAAATTACTGCTGTTTACAGGTGTGGAGTGCTTTGAAGCCCAACACTGATGATTCAGAACAACCAATACATGAGATGGATTTATTATCTGGTCATGAGAATGATGTTAATTATGTACAGTTTAGGTTAGCCATCCTAGTTAGATCTACACTTATTTGTTTTATTTTTTATTTTGTAAGGATCCGTATTTTCTTTGCTATTCTGCATGCAGTGGTTGCTCTGTGGCTTCAAAAATTTTGACATCTGACCCCTGGAAAGAAGAAAATACACTTAAGTTCCGAAATTTCTGGTATATCATAATGCTTCTTTCCTTTTTTTTTTTCCTCCCTACTCTTTATTAGTTGTTTAATATAACAAGTGTAGCCCGCTCTTATTACTTAATATGTTTCAAACTAATGGTCGTATATGATATAACTTGTGTATTTCAGGTATTGTCATGATAACATAGTTACCTGTTCTCGTGATGGAAGTGCAATTATATGGGTTCCCAGATCACGTAGATCTCATGTGAGCTCCTTTAAATAAGATTACCATTGAACTTCGGTCTATACTTAATAAGATTTCCTTCCATATTTTCTCTCTAAGAATTATCTTAGGCATCTTTATGGCACGTGCAGTTTCATATTTCCCCCATGCTTACCATATGTTTAACTTTTCCTCTTTTATTTCAGGGAAAAGTAGGACGTTGGACTCGTGCATATCATCTAAAAGTGCCACCACCACCATTGCCTCCTCAACCTCCGCGAGGTGGTCCAAGGCAGAGGTTTCTACCTACACCTCGTGGTGTCAATATGATTATATGGAGCCTGGACAATCGTTTTGTACTTGCAGCTATTATGGGTAATGTACTTGCTAAAGTAATAAGAGCAGGAAAATTTATACCAACATATTATTCTTTTTTTGTATACTTTGTATATATTAAATTGATGGCACCTCATATCCAAATTAGTCAAGGTGGTATAGAAAAGTTTTTTACTTTATTTTTTTACTATTATAACAATTTGACTCTCTCTCTCTCTCTCTCTCTCTTTTTTTTTTTTTTTAACATTACTAGGTGTAAAGTTTACAATGTTTATTTTTTTCTTATATTATTATGATTTTTAATGTATTTTTTAATTTTATATAATATGATAGTGTGTATATATTTATAAATGTATAATATATATATATATATATATATATATATTTGAATAATTTTATATTCACACATGTCTATTATCATTTTTATAAGCACGTTTTCAAAAATACTATTTTTATAAATATATTTGCATTTATGCATCCTTTGCTGACTTTTTCTTAAAGTAAATCACATTACTCATTATGTTGCAGATCTAATGTTAATTACTAACTCTTCGATATGATAACTTACTAGAATGACATAATATATGCTGAAATATTCAAAGGATCTATTTTGTCTAACCAATTTTCCTATAAACTAAAGCTGTCAAGGAGCATGTATATTTTCTACTTTGTACTATCGATTCTACATATATAACTAAGCTTTGTATTTCCTCTGCGTGGATTCTGGTTTAGTATGCGATTGATATTTTATCATCCCCACATGGAGTAGATAATATTGATTCAGTATGCTATTGATATTTTATTATCCATATATGGAGTATAGAATATGCTAGGTATCTGTTGAAGATTTTGAGTGATCCTGATCCAAGTCTTGCTATGTACTGAGAGTGGTTAGTTATTTTGTTATGTGATTGGACTTGAGGCCACTACTTCTATCATTTTCAACCAATGTGGGACTTTTTCATTTTCCTACAGTATCTCATCAACATAGTATTGTTACAATAATTGTCATGATAATACATCTTTATTCTTTTGACTTTGCATTCATTCACAACTTTGTGATCCCTTCCCTTCTCTTCTAATATATAGATAATCAATTTAAAGTTATTCACTGTGGAGAGCAGGTTCTTGCATGCTTTAACTGAGTACTTGTCTTTTCATCTTGAAGATTGCAGAATATGTGTTTGGAATGCAGTTGATGGCAGCTTAGTGCACTCTTTGACTGGTCATACTGCATCTGTAAGACCTCAAATCTCTCTCTCCCCCCCCTCTTCTGTGTTTTCTGTATTTTATCTATAACATCTATAATCTATTACAGTAGGTAAAATTAATACCTTTTCCTCTAATTGCTTTTGGTCTCCATTTTTAATAGGAACATTTTGTCCTTCAAAACATCCAAAAACACAAATCCATTTATTTATAGATATAGAAACTTTTGTTTTCATGTTTTGGACTATTTTAGTCTTTCACTTTACATTTCTATTGTAAATAAAAACTTTCTAATACTCACACAATTGCCTTCTCTCTCTCTCTCTCTCTCTCTTCTCATCTCTTGCTTTCCATCTCCCTATAAGGCTTTCATCTTTGCTCACTATAAGATTTTAGGAGGCTAATGCATCAGTGCTTAACTGCTTATAATTAAATGAGCTCATTCTCTTAATTTTATAATATTTTTTTTATTGAAATAAAATAAATAGAAGCACGAAGTGTCTCGATCCCACTAGTGTGTTACTAATTTGCTCCATTAATAAACATGCTCAACTTATTTTGTCTGGACTAACATAAAATTGGAATTTGGTCATGCTTTTCTAATTGGGTTCAGTCCGACCCTCTTATTATCTTTTCTATCTTTATTTGAATTTTTACAGTTCTTTCATGACTAAATGCTGAGTTTTCAATGGTTGGCAGTCTTATGTTTTGGATGTTCACCCTTTTAACCCTCGAATAGCTATGAGTGCTGGGTATGATGGACGAACCATTGTGTGGGATGTAAGCTTTTTTTTTTTCTTCTTTTTTTTTTTGTGTCCTTAATCTTAGCGTTGGAATGCTCTTTGTAAAAAAGATTAGTTTATATGCCTTTCTGGTACATGCTTTTTTCAGATATGGGAGGGCATACCTATTCGGACATATGAAATTAGACGTTTTAAGTTGGTTGATGGGAAGTTTTCTCCGTAAGTATCTATTGGATTTTTTCCTCTATAGATTTTGATTTGTTGCACACTTTGGTAATACTTGGAGTTGGTGATGTCTTCTATATCCTTCTGTCTTTGGCTTATTAAACTTGTGTTTGGCAAAGAAACTCATTAGACATAAAGAGATTGGCTATCTCCAAAACTACCTATAACTTTCTGAGAGTTAGTTACTGATTACAGCTGTCGAATAACTAGCTGATAACTGCAGCAAGTGATTTTCATGTAAAGCAAGTATACTTGAGCTGTTAGGTAAAGACTATTAATGTTTTTTTTTTTTTTTATTT